CGTTTCCTCAAATTTCCATGGGTTCTGCGTTCTAAGAATATCTCGTGTTGCTTGCGTAAGTATATATCGACAGCTTAGTAATACAAGCGCTGGAGACGCGTGTTCTCTCAATACAGCCAGCGTACGTGCTGCGGCTCTTGTGGGCGCTACTTCTCGGCATGACATCACGAGTTGGCGTAATGTAAACGAGTTCACCGGCTGGGTGAACATTGAAGAAATCGATATATCGTAGCCTCGATGCACAAGCTCGGTTCATCCTCGAGTATCGCTCGCAACAATTCTTTGTCAATCCGCTTAATCTTCTTTCCTATATGAGTTTAACAGTTTAAACTCTTTAACAAAACAAAGAAAAAATTATTGTAAAAATATGATAATTTCTGTATGTTGTATACTCTTTGACAAAAGAAGTTACACACAGGTTTAGATAAAAAAGCCATTATTTCAGAAACGTTGATAGATACAACAAAACGTCACAGGACTCTTTCAATTCTTTTCGACGAGACCTGTGATAAAAATGTTATGTGTTAAAGCCATATCTATCGTTGAGAAAACGATCCCAACGTTTAGACCTATGCGTAACTTTTTTTTGTTAAAAAGTGTGTTTTCGATTATCATCTAATCCTTCATCTCATAGTTAATTATAACATATATTTTTTAGATGTCCTGGTATTTACCGTCGCTTCCAACGAGACAGATGGCTTCAGAAGATACTTGAGATCGGCCGAGATCCATGGATTTCATGATAAATTGAACGTCCTTGGTCTAGGCGAACCTTGGAAAGGCGGTAACGTTGTTCGTTATGCTGGTGGTGGGTACAAAATTAATCTCCTCAAGAAAGCCTTGGAGGACTATCAGAATGATGAAAAGAAGATTATTTTGTTCACTGATAGGTGGGTACATCCTCCCTGATAATATGGAATATTTCAGCAATATTGCAGCAACATTGAAACATTCTAGTAGTGTTGTAAGAGTTGCAATGTTGTTGCATTATTACTGGATTGTCCTGGGTCATATGAACTATTCTGTTACCGCAGAGAAGATATTTTATAAATGTATATATTTCCTGCTTTTAGCTATGACGTTATATTTCTTGGCGATCTATCCACCATCGTCGAGCGTTTCCTGGATACCGACGCTCGAGTCTTATTTTCCGCGGAGGCGTATTGTTGGCCAGATAAATCCCTGGCGACTCAGTATCCGCCCGTATCAAGGGGCAAACGATACTTGAATTCCGGTGGTTTCATCGGTTATGCGTCCGATGTGTATAAGATCTTAGAGACCGCTATTATCAAAGATGAAGACGATGATCAGTTATTCTACACGACCGTATATCTGCAAGATGAGCTCAGGTTACGGTATAAGATCAAGCTAGATCACAAATCTGAGATATTTCAGAATCTCTACGGTGCGGTAGGTAAGAGCAAGCGGAAGAGCATCGCAACAAAGAGCGTCGATATACAGTAATCGTATTTTATTCAATCAAGTATGTCAAAAATAAATTTTGTCAAATGTTTGCTACAAATTTTGTCGATCAAATTTGATTCACATTCTGTTATATCATTCGATGTTAGCATTAGTGACAGATATACAACAAAATTTACTCACGTAATATGAGAATAAATTGTCAGCAAAAACTCTGCAAGCTTGTTGACAGCTGACAACTTATCTCAAATTAGCTACAAAAACTCAAAACTAAAACTGGCCAAAGTTTTGCTTGATTTGTGTAGAAACTGTCTTGGAGATCTTTAGGTTTGCCGACAATTTCCCCTCACATTATGTCAGCAAACTTTATCGGCAAAACATAAGCTTAATGCAAACACAATTAACGCCAATTTGCTAATATTTTTGATTGAATTTATCAGCAATCTGTATGCAATTGCTAACATTTTGCTGACTGGATAGTTATCATCATTATTGTCTTTTACAGCCGATGTGGAGCTCAGGTTCAAGGGAGAAGAGGCTTATCTTCAAAACATCGTTTACAACACAGTGCCCCTGGTGCTTCACGGCAACGGACCCAGCAAGCTGGTCTTAAATTCCTTGGGCAATTATCTGGCCCGCGCTTGGACGCCGGATGAGGGGTGTTTGGCGTGCTGGGACCAAACCATTGAACTCGACAAGATGAAACCGAAAACATATCCGGTTATTCTAATAGCCATTTTTATCGAGCGTCCTACGCCGTTTCTGGAAGAATTCTTCCGAGCTATCTATCGCCAATACTATCCAAAGTCGAAGTTACATCTGTTTGTTCACAATAACGTTCCCTATCACGAAGACGTAGTGGATGATTTCTTCGAGAAGATTGGTCAGGAATACCTGAGTGCGAAACGAATATTGCCAAGCGATGATGTCAGCGAGGTTGACGCGAGGAAGTTGGCAATGTAAGCAGAGCTCGTAACTCTGTGAATATAATTTAAAACACAGACTTTTATACCGCTAACATCTAGTAAATTCGCGGTAAAATGTGAAGTTGGTAGCTATATTTACTGAGGGATAATATGCAGTGTGCAGTAAGAATATGTAATTTAATCTAAATAAATAAAAGATAATATTTATAATTTTAAACAAAAATATTGAAAAATGGCTATAACATGTTGCATACATGATAATAAAATTTGATATGATTTTTATCCAACACTAAATATAACGACATGAATTTATTTATAAAGATCGCTGTAAACGGTTCATAATACATAAAAGTCTGTGATTTAAAGATTCGAGACGTACACTATTTAACGCTAGAGCGAGTGAAGGGACGCGTGACATTTATAGGAATGCTTAAAAGCGATCTGTTTCACAGGGAGCATTGCTTGTTGAAGGAGTGTTCTGGATATCTGTCGATCGACGCAGTCGCGCATCTGGACAATGAGCACGCGTTGAAGTTACTGGTGGAACAACAGAGAGGGATCGTCGCGCCCTTGCTCATACGACCATTTAAAGCGTGGAGCAATTTCTGGGGCGCCATAACGGATGACGGATTTTACGCGCGGAGTTTCGATTATATGGAGATAATAAAAAACGAACGCAGGTAAAGCGAAACATACAAATATCAATCCTCTATATTTTTCGCTTGAACTACAATATGTACGCATGAAGAAAAGGAAGCGTCGATTATTATTATTCTAGATAGACGCCGATTTCAACGCTGCGCTTCGATAAGATCGAGAACAATTTCTCGCATTCCGGATTAGGACAATTTTAGTCTCCTTCTGCAAGTCGTATAGTGTCGTTCTAAATCTTTTTTTTTTTTAGGGTCTATCGTAAAAAGTTTACGTGTTACCTGGGCTTTATATGTTTTCTTATCTAATTGTACGTGTTTGTTTGCGATCTCCCATACACTCGCACTAATCGAAAGCGATGGAGAAGTCAGTCTTGAAAGACCTTCGATCGATGCTGTACATATTATCCGCCGTGCACTCGTAGACCCCCGCGTCCATTTGAGTAGCGGGATCGATTTCGAGTTTCGATTTCACTTTGTCAGGACCGACTTGCCACTCGTGTATCTGCAGAAAATAAAATACCGTTAGTAATGATAAAATATCAACCACTATTGATCGTAGGTGCAACTCAATTGACTGTTCTTCGCAGTTCCGCAGTTAATAATTTTACATTGTTGCTTTTTACATTGAAAATGTGCATATATTCACTGACATGTAGATAGTGATGCGTGTATATCTCGGCGCCATCCTTGAACCACGTAACATGCGGACGTGGATTGCCACGAGCGACGCAGAGGAAAGCTATTTTGTGTCCCAGGACGTACTCTAGATCGAAATGCGACGCCAGAAGTATCTTGGCTCCCTAAAAGAAATTAATATACACCGGTGATAATAAGAGAAAGTTACATTGAGACTTTAGATTAAATTGTGAGACAGTAGTCTCTTTCTTATTGTATTGCACTTGGAAAAAAAGACAATAATAGTAATCATATAAATGACAATTTATTTAAGTTTTATATGAGAATTAATATGCATAGTTGAATAAATTATCTCTTGTAATTATTCAACTATAAAATAATTTATTTAATTACATTATGTATATTAATTCTACACAATGTAAAACTTATATAATTGTCATTTATATAGTTGTCATCATTGTCATTATGTTTTTCTCTGAACTGATACACCCTAGAATAGTGCAAGAACGGAAACGTTCCTCTCGAGCAATCTCTTTTTCTACGTACGTTATTATTGTTGTAATACTGATCGCTCTCCGGATCGCGGTACTTTCCGGTAATGGGCAATCCGATTTGCACACGGGACTTGCTCCTGCTCCTTCCTCGTCCTCTTCTACCAAGTGTCTCTTGACAATTGAGCAATAATATACCCAGCAGGATTAGCAACAGCATGGAGCGTGACATGATAATCTAATAAGAGTGGAATAGAATGGAACATTACACATAATATCTTACACGATTTTTCAAACTTGCAGATTTGTGTGTCGCTCGTGTCACTTGGTTTTGGATCGAAATGATCCGCAATTAACACGAATCGAGATTAAAGTCTTGTTATTATGAGATTGTAGAAAGGTGCGGAAAATGCTAAAATTGTCGCCTGATGTTATTATTTATTGGAGCGGAGATAGGCTGAGGATACTCACTGTACGTTGTAGCGTTCGTAGATCACACGGAACTCCGATGTAACTGACAGTCACCTACTCATTACTCCCCTAGTGTCCTCTCGCATCTATTACAGACTTATATGCAGATAATGTATGTCGGGCTATATGCACAGTGGTTATTCCTTTGCACTACATGATCGCCATCAATTCCTATCAAATATGCAGAGCGCTTATCCATTAATTTAACCATTTGTCCATTCCTTCCGGATGACTCAGATTTCCGGTACAATTGCAAGTGACTTTTAAATTAGTTACCTGCGACACGTCTTAATTAAAATTTGCAACAATACGTCACGCGTATTCAAATTCAAGAATTAAAACCGGGAAACAGAAGTTGTATAGAGGAGAAATAACTGTAATTATTATATACAGTGTTCATATAATATTCATGCAGATTGTTTATTTCACACTGTGCTACAAATTGTCGCAGTCATTGGTGGCGACGCAGCGAGAGAAGTACGCCCTTCCATGCCACTGTCGCGCATTGCAATTGCCTTGTTAAATTTGCAGTGATGGACCATTTTCGATATATTCCTCGCGTCACATATCCCCTTATAACAGTCAATCATGCTTTAACGAATTGGGGGGAACCATCGGATTTGTTTTCGTACCTTCGCACGTCCGTTGATGATCCAAAAGAGGTCCGTTTTGTTCATGTCAGAAGGAAAAAGACAAATTGTTATGACCTTAATTTTTACGTCACTGACGCCACGTAGAAAGTTGGACTAATTTCTTAAATATCACGACCGCCTTTTGGGGAGGGTAGAAAAGCAACTAACAATAACATAACATCAGTGTTAAAATTTTGTACTCAACAATGTAACTGTTATGTAACAAATACGTAATATTTATATTATTGAGTGTAAAATTGTAATTGATGTTGTTACTAGTTTTACTAGTTGTCTCCCTTATTAATTTGGATCAGAGCTTTATCAAGTATATAAACTAACTGCTTATCAAATAAAAATCTATCATGTAACAAATCAATAACAAACTATATCTATTTTCACACAGGATATTATTTGTTCTAATACTATGGCGATCGCGGAGCTATCCATCAGGGAAAACGTTCAATACGAGATCATGACGTAATCCGTTCTGAAGCCTCTGCGATCGACGGCATACTGATTGTCCGCCTGGCACTCGTAATAACCGGCGTCCTTCTGCGTCGCAGGGTCGATCTCCATTTTCGACTTTATCGTGTCATTACCAACAGGCCACTCGTGCACCTGGCAATTCAAACGATCTCCAGATTCTCGCGATTATCCGAGAAACCAATTTTGCATCTTTAACTTCTTTTAGGGAAGACCAGTTCCAGATCTTAATTGTGGATTAGCTTACCTGGAAGAACTTGTGATGGTACAGCTCGATCCCGTCCTTCAGCCAGGTGATCTCCGGTCTTGGGACACCGATCGCCATACAGAAGAACGTAATCTTTCTGCCCAGCATGTAATCCAGCTCGAAGTGGGATGCCTTCACGATCTTGGCACCCTGCGAAAGATCCGAGAAATGGTATCACTAAATCGCGGCACAGATACACAAGATACACATCCATCGTCAACTCACATCCTTGTTCTCGTAATAGTGCGTACTCGCAGGATTTCGATTGGGTATCAGGATGTGCATTCGCGAGCCGAACAGTCTTCCTCGGCCGCGGCCTCTCCCTCTACCACCGCCGCCCTTCGCCGCTTCTGTGCTTATCATTAGGGCTGCTAATAGAAGCAAATAGAGCAGCCGGCATCTCGTCATTTGATCTATAACCAGAGTGAACTAGAGAAACTTGGACGACTGAAGAGTAACCAACAACGCACCGCGGATCTTGTCACGAGCACTTTATATACCTTATCGCGAACTCATTTATCACTATTATATATAGTACCCACTACTCTTTTTATATGTATATACATTACATTATAATGTTATATCGATTCGCGGCCGTGAGAAATTCGATGATGAGATCAATGAATCGCGTTCCGCAGGCAATAACGTGCCAATTTACAATGTAATCGCAGCGCAACGCAATTGATCAACGTGCACAAAGAGCATTTCGTTATTCTTACCAGGAAGATACGGAGGACTTGGCTGATCTCTGGCACGAGCGTATTACGGATCCGCTAGGTCCTACCACCTAAAATACGAATGAAACCACGAGGCGACGCGCGCAGTCACACGCTGATGTACTGAGTTATGAATCTCAATTGGATAATTATGCATAACTCATTGCCAAGTATGTTCAACGGCCAATCGCGGCTACCACTGCGATCACCTTACAAAACACTTAAGCGACGACCTCCGGAAAACAAATGCCATCGTGTCCAGCCGTGGGGCAAACAAGTGCTCTCTGCTAGTTGCGCTCGTTGTACGCCTTCTCCGAAGCGCTTCTCTGATATGCAATTCGCCGAATCACGTTGATGCCTGTTTCAGGGGACTGTGGAACGTGCCGTTCGTCAGTAACTGCTACTTGATCAACGCAACGATTATAGCAAACAAGGCGACCCGGCCAACCTACGAGGCTGGCGACCTGGACACGGAGATGGCATTCGCCCATGGAAATCGACAGCGGGGCCTGTTTATGTACGTCAATAACCGACTCGAATTCGGCCATCTCGTCGATCCCGATACCTACGACATCCGACTTATCTATCCGGATATGTACCAGATCATGGAAAATAAGCTGGACTGGGAGAAAAGATACATTCATCCGAATTACAGTGAAAACTTTAATCCTGACAAGAAGCCAATACAGGTAAAGATGATTAGCCGTAAAGAATTTTTCTTAATTATCACTTCTACTACCTACTTCCTGTTCAACTTGATTTTTTTGCAGCCATGTCCGGACGTCTATTGGTTTCCCATTGTTAATCTCAGGTTCACCAAGGAGCTCGTAGGAGTCGTTGAGACTTTCGGACAATGGTCGGATGGAACTAATCACGTAAGTTGAGAGAAATACTCCTTATGAGTCTTTTATCGCCAATTAGCTTAATAACGTTATTAGAATTCTTGTACTGTGCGATTTACTTTCTTGGCAGGATCCACGATTATCGGGTGGCTACGAAAACGTGCCAACCCGCGATATTCACATGAACCAAGTTCAGTACGATCAACAATGGTTGTATTTCTTGAAAGAATACGTTAGGCCGTTGCAGGAGCTCGTCTTCACCGGCTACTTTCACGATGTAAGATTTATTTATGTTCACTGGTCTTTTTAGGATCCTCGACTGGAATCCGGATACGAAGCGGTACCAACCCGTGATATTCACATGAATCAAGTCGGTCTCCAGGACGCCTGGTTAAAGTTTCTAAAAGATTATGTCAATCCCTTGCAAGAACATGTCTTTACAGGATATAATGACTACGTAAGATTCTGAAATGAAATTTGGGTATACGGAAGGGATCTTAATGCGCACAGATCTCACAATGGTACATGCACTCGCAAAACGCACATTGTTTAATTAACTAGGTTGTACCGCTTCGTAGCAAGTAATTGGGACCTCTTTGTTGTATGTATGTAAATTTTTGAATTGAGGAACAATAATAATTTAACTTAAGACCCCCAAGTAACACTCGATTGATATCTTAACTGAGATTTGATGAAAGTTTCACTAAATTTTATATCGATTTTACGCCGCTGGGCATGTTATTTGAGAACTCAAACAGAACAACAGATCACAATGACATCAAAATAACGTTCAAATAAATCATGACTAATCAAAAATGTATTTTTAATAATTATTTTGGAGTCATTTTGACACAGTTTTGATGTCATGATAACTTTTTGTTCTGTGCTTGGGAAATATATCATTCAAAGTTGCTGTAAATCATTTTACTTGAAACCATATGTTATACTAATTTTATGTCGGCAGCCACCACGGTCCCTCATGAATTTCATTGTGAGATATCGCCCGGACGAGCAACCACTCTTGAGGCCGCATCATGATTCTTCGACCTACACTATCAACATCGCCCTGAATCAAGCGGGAGTGGATTATGAAGGCGGTGGATGCAGGTTCATCCGATACAATTGCTCGGTTACCGACACGAAGCCAGGCTGGATGCTGATGCATCCTGGAAGACTGACACACTATCACGAGGGATTGCGAGTGACTGCGGGCACACGTTACATCATGATCTCTTTCGTGGATCCGTGATAGAATTCTACTGTGAATCTGTAAACTATCGCTTATTAAAAAATGTACTGCCACTGTATCAAGAACGAAAAGTATCAAAAGAAGAGAAAGCTAACGCGTGGTATCAAAAAGAATCGTAATTTCTACAGGGACATGTTCATTATTGTTGTCGACTGGAAACGCCAATTGTCACTGATGGACTGAACAGTTAACAGATGTGTGAAAGCTGCTTATATATATACATATATATATATATAACATATATATACATATATATATGTGTGTGTATGTATATGTTATATATAACCAATGTATTATTTTTATACTCCGGAAATGCACGCCTAATCGTGTTTTTCATAGTTAGCAATATTGCCAATTTATGACGAGAGATGATAAAACTGGAATATGTATATTGTGCAATACTCATTGACATCTGAATGATCAGTTCTTTCAGTATACATAAATAGAAATTAATAATAAAATTTATAATAATAAATGTTATCAAATATGATGAGTATCTATTAACCATGTTAATCTTTTCCAGCTGTTGTTTTTTAGCCGAAAGGAAAAGGGTTTTAAATCTCTTCAAGTTCAACATTTTTGTTTTCCATTTTCTGTCGTATATCTATATAATTTTTCAATATGTTACAATATTAGGAACATCAATAGGATAAATAATTAAAAGTAACGTCACCGAATAGCAAATTTTCAAAAATTGATTTTAATTACATCCCTGCACATTTATTTACAGAGTAAAAAACGTACCTCTGTGCCAGAATTAATCGCGACACATGTCACTTGTGCAAAACTAATATAATTAAAGCCATTGTTATTTTCACTATGGAATAAGTACTCATTGAATTCAATTGAACTGTTACACGGGTTTAACGCGGATTTAATTCTTTTAACCATTCACTATATTGCTTTTTTTATCTCATAAATTGTTCGGAATACAATGTGTAATGTATTCCATCAAAAGTTAATCTTAAAGCACTCTCGGTTTTTAACCACTTCATGCATTTAGCGCCACTTGTATGTATGTGTATATATATATCTGTCAATTTTAGGATGCTACGCGTTCAAAATAATTTAGAATGCAGCGTAAATAAAAAGCGAATTAAACGTAACATGTTTATGCAAAATGCGTTTCCACCAAATCTTCTGTCGAATCTTCTAGCCACATCAGATATCTGGTAATCACGAATACTATAAATTTAAATTCACAATAACGTTTAATTTAACTAAGTCTTATTTACAGTTTTTGTTCGCTTCATAGAAAAAAATGGTTATATATATTATATTCATTTCAGAAACCAGCTCGTTTCAATTCATTCAACTGATGCGCCAATTTCTCTTCCTTGGTTCGCCTAGCTTGACCCAGCTTCCGGCACTCTATGTACGTGCTGAGAAAACGCTCGACGTCGATCTTCCGGTTGAGAAAATCTTCGGCAATCTGCTCACTCTCTTCGTGACTCTCATCTGCTGCTTGTCTCAAACATTCTTTTATGTGATCCGGCGTAAAAACCTCGGATAATTTATTGTATCGTTGTATGAGATGGTCATATCTGGCTTTCAGTGCTGCCACCGTTTTCACCTTATCTGCTACATCAGCTTGCAGCTGCTTCAGTTCGGGTTCTTTGGCTGCATTAGCTTCTACGAGAAGAGATACAAATTTGTTAATAAGCAATTAAATGAGAACGTTAAATAGATAAAAATTAAACTGCAGATCTGTCCAAAACTTAGCTTGTGAGCCAAACGGTCTCCGTTTCATTGAGTAAGACAAAAAAAGGATAGATGTTAGAGCAGCCAGTCAATGGATTAAGTTCTAGTACCTATTGTTTTTGTTTTCTCTCTGTCTCAACGAAATGAATGGGAAACGTTTAGCTTTAAATTTTAATTTTCCCCGCAAGTTAAAATTGAGACAGGATTAACAGAAATAACAGAATAGTTTTTCTGCGATTTTAACATTTCAATAGTAAAGATATTTATATTTCTATTCTTACCGGCAGTTTTTTCAACCCAATCCATAGCATCTTCGACCGCTGCATTTATATCTTTAATTTGGGAATGTTTTTCCAGAAAGTCGTCCAGCTTATCGTCATCTTCGCTGAGCCTCTTTAATTCCTCATTAGTTAAATTATTTAATTCGGGAAATATTATGCTTTGCGGCGCTTTCGCCTGCGATTGATTCGGCAATGGCTGCTGATAGTTCGCATTCGCATAATGCGAATTTAGGTAAGGCGTGCTGTGCTGATCCGAGGTATACCGCGTGGACGTAGAATTTTGAAGCGCACTGCTCCTCGAATTCGCAAGATACGGTGAGTGATGTGACGTACCGCCGAACGATTTCGAAGTTGAGACATACGTGTGACCGGAGTTTGTATAGTTGTAATTATAAATGCACGTGTTCGCATTGGAGGACGACAGATGTGGAAACTGCGTCTTATAATATGAATTGAATGACGTCGACGGAATTTCGACAGGATACTGCTGAAGCGAGTAAGACGGCGAGTTCCTTCCTTGCAGATCTGTAATCACACATAAAAAGTATTTCAATAAATATAGAAAAATATAGAACTCATTTTTACGTAAAGTAATATTACAAAAAAGAAAGATAGCCAAGATGAGCAATAAAAAAGGTGTCGAATAAAAATAAACAAGTTTTATTTTAAAGGGTAATAGTGATAGGGACAGTTTTGACTTATTGAGTTTTCTTCAGCCAAATCAAAATAAATAAATCGTGGCTATGTTTAAAATATAGCTATAAGTGAATAAAAATTGAACGATAATTAAAAAATACAAAAAGGGAGATTAAAAATTACAAGACCATGTCAACTGCACTCAACAATAGAATAATCTAATAAAAATGACAAACATTATGTCAAGTATATAAACCTATTTTATTTTTAAATGTAATATAAATATAAAGTAAGTAAAATAATTGTTGCATGTTAAAGTATTGCATTATATCGACGCATAACAGAACAGGTGAAATAGCGATACATACCTGGATGAGGTTTACTAGAACCAGGTGAAATATCCTCTAACAACTGTGGCGGGTTCTTGCTGAATTCTCTGATAATAGCTTGGACGACCCGACCGAGATCACTGTGTACTGAAAACTGCCGTAATAACAAGAGATTTATTATTTCAAATGTACAACATACATTGAAATAAAATACATAAATGAAACATAAAGAATAATATGTATATAATACATATTTCCATTGAATTAACTTATTAACACAAAAGTCCATTAGATTAAAATTAAACAATCAAATTAAAGGATTAAAATACTAAAGGTCTGTTCTTTTTAGCCTGAACTTCTTGTGCATATTTCATCTTTTCTCTTTTTCTCTTCAACATGAAAAGAAAAAGGGAAATGACAAATCATGTAAGAAGTTTAGTGAAAAAGAATAGATCTTAAATTACAAATAGTTACAAATGCTAAGTTACAAGGTCGTAATAAATGATAGAAGTGTTATAAAAAAAATTATATAAGTTTGTCATATATTATATCTCTTTTCTATAACACTTAATTTATTATGACTTGTTTGTAACTTAGTGTTTATTACTTAACTAACATTAAAACTTAACTTGACTCACAGCCCTTTAATTATATTATTTATATATTTCTGTATCACAAGTTTTTTATATAAATTTGTCCACTTACATTGAGTAATCCTGGCGCACTGGTAATTTCACTATGCTCATTACACCAGGGATGGCTTATCGGTGGGGAAACTCTAAGTACTGGCTTCTCCAATGGAAAATTCGGCGACAGGGAAACCATAATAGCCATTCGTCTTTCGCCAGCTTGAAATTCCACCTGATAGTCCACATTTTCTCTGAGTTCTATCACACTGTAAGACATTTATTGCATTATACTTCCCACAGACACTTGCAGCCAGTAAAAATCTACGAGACCAACTGTGACCTTGAACCAGCATTAATCTTAACGTTATTAGCTCAGTTGTCTTACATCTGCCCGTCACAAATATTCATTCAAAACGTCATTTGCGAAATGTAAGACAATGACGCAAATGCCATTTAAAGGAAAAAAATTTTGAAAGCGATCGCTACTGTCATAATGGTAGGAACTCGTGACCATTTCCGATTGTATCGGGAGAGCACAGCGCTACGAGAATGAACGAGCAATCTGATTGTTTTCACGGTATAGGTAGCCATTCGTAGGGCGACACCGAGCATAAAATCGACGATAATATGGCTCAAGTGAGGTTAATGAGAGAGGTTACAACGTCAACGGGGAGGGAGGGAGGGGGAAGAGGAGGAGCCCCTGCGACGACGACGACGAGAATTCACCCTTACTTGTCGTTAAAGATTTTCAGAGTGTCGATTTGCCGTTTGCGTTTGACCGCGATATTCTCGATTTCCCCACGGAATATTCGCGATATCATTTAAGTGCCTGGATTTCCGATAGATCTCTCATCCGCTTGATCGTCGTCCCTGTCAACGCGACCATCCAGCAGAACAGCTGTTTTAACCTCGTCACACTTCACGTAGAAGGACAGAAGGGTCCGAGCGAGAATACGAAGCTCGCTTCGGTTCAGTTACTAGTTGCGCTTGTCAAACGGCGCCACTATCGCCTTCCTCGCGCCAGAGTACAGAAATAGTGGGAAAGGGGGGGAGAGAGAGAGAGAGAGAGTGAGAAAGGGGTAATAGGGAGAGAGAGAGAAAAGAAAGAGGTTGGAAAGAGAGAAGGAAGTTAAAGAGAGAAAAAGCAGAGAAAAAGCTGACCAAAGAGAGAAGTCACAGAAAAAAAGAGAAATCAGAGAGAGAGAGAATATCCAGTCGCTACTCTTCAAGGCGACCTCAAGGTCTCAATTCGAAAGTGGAGTTCTCTATGTTCATGAAACGTTCACATTGAACTACATTGCTGCATTTTTTAATCCTCCGTAGATAACATTTTATATATTTTATGTATGTTGATTTCACGCTACGTTCGGAGCATTGCTCAGCATTGTTATAAGGACTCACACGTCAAAATCCTGTCAGGCAGAGGATGTTTATTTATCCGTGATTCTCGTTCCAATGTTGACAACACATGCCAGAAAGAAAATAACACGATATATCACTTCTGTAATATATGAAAAAGGTTTTCTGACGTGAAAATTGCGCCTTTTCGGAACAATTAGATTATCAGTAGATTTATTTTTTTCTTGAGAGGGATACATCAGATTTGAAGACTGTCAGCAGTCAGATCTCTTACGTTTGTTGGCGCAAGAAGGACTGTCTGTCCCGGCGGGCTTTATTAGCAAGCAGGATTCATTCTATAGTTAGATGTAAGTGTCTCCCTGAGCGAGCACTTACAACAGCTTACACACAGCTTTGTTTTCCCCAGAAATTCGCGGTGGGCCGAAAATAAACGCGGAACCGGCGTGACGCCGGGAGCAGACGTCTCTTTTGACACGATCGTAGTGCTTGGAAGGCTCAGGAATCGCATTATGTCGTCCCTCGTGCAAATAGACGGCAGTTTGGGCGAGGGTGTAAGTATATATGAAACAGAAAATCCTCTAAATATCATTTTCCTTAAAATTAAATACATGTACTATATGTATATTTTAAATATAATACACATGTTTTTATAACAAAAAACTCCAAAATCAGGGCGAATGAGAGTCAGCGTGGTAATTAATACGCAATCTTAATTCTTCAATCCAAAAAATAGATTCTTTATTCCAAAATTAGTACGTTTCAGTTCACTTTGGAACCATCTTCAGCAAAACAAAAAAAAAGCACGATATCTGTAATACACAATAATCTTAATTCTTCTTTGAAGGGCGGACAAGTGTTACGAATTGCTCTCAGCTTGAGCACGCTCTATGGCATCCCCATCGAAATCGAGAATATACGCGCTGGAAGGCCCAAGCCCGGTCTCGCGGCACAACATTTAAAAGGTAATCCAAAAGCAAATGTCAATATTTTATATCCGACTATGTTAGGTGGAAAACTCCAATTCTGTTGTTATAGGTGTGGAACTTGTTAAGGAGATGTGTAATGCCCAAGTCAGAGGTGGATACATAGGATCGACACGTTTGGAATTCCGTCCGGGTCCACTAAACAAAACCAAGAGAACGTTTGTAGCGGACACAAAAACTGCTGGATGCATTTGCTTACTGGCGCAAGTAGCACTGCCGTGTGCCCTCTTCTTTCCATGTAACGATACGATCACGCTCATCTTTAAGGGTGGAACGAACGTTCCTATGGGGCCACACATAGAATATCTGACAGAAGTGTTTAAACCATTGCTGAACAAATTCGGAGCAGACTTTGATTTTGTAGTTGTGAAGAGGTATATGCACTCAATTTATTGTACCTGATCTTAAATTTACGGCTATATTGTTCTATTTATACTAAAATTAATGATAAATGGAGGGGATATTATCCAAAGGGAGGAGGCGAGGTGCATTTACGCATAAAACCGATCAGTAGCTTAAACGCGGTTACTTTAATTGATCTGGGAAATCCTCGGGGAATAACAGGATGGTCTTATGTGGCTGGGTCAGTTCACATAAATGTATGTATCACTCCGATTAAACCTACAAATGAATTCTAGTAAATTTCGAATTAATTATAGTACATGTCTCATAGGAGGCGCATACAATGGCCAACGATGCCAAAGCAATTTTAACAAATAAATTAGTGAAAAGCAATATTCGAGTACCACCAATTACAATCGAAGCTTACAGGGAAGACAGAGCAATGGCTGTTGGAAACGGCTCTGGTATCAAGTAAGAAACTACTATATTAAAATTTCTTTTCCTAAGATCTGTTCTTTTTAGTTGAACTTCTTGCTGAACTATGTTTTCTTTTTTTTCCTTCAATATGAAAAGAAAGAAAACAAAGATAAACCATGCAAAAAATTCAGTTAAAAAAACAGGCCTCTTATTTTATTAGATACAGATAAAAAAATTGACAGAAATGTAAAAATAAAATTAATATTAGTATAGTGTGTAACACCAGCACGGGATGCGTTCTCGGCGGCTCCGGATTAGGTTCTGGAAGACAAGAAGGACCGCCGGCAGGTGAAACAGCGGCTAACGAGATTTTAAAGCCGCTCCTGGCAGGGGCGTGTGTTGACGAACACACGCAGGATCAGGTAAGCGCGTAGTTTGAAAAGATACCTTAACTTTTTCAAATTAATTAAATTAATGCGTTATTTATTATAGATGATAATTTTAATGGCACTGGCGAAAGGTACTTCGCAGATCAAAGTCGGAGACAAGAAGCTCACTTGTCACACGGAAACTGCTATGCAGGTTGCAGAGATAATGTTGGGTAAACGTGGACTTCGCTTCAATTTGTCAAAAAGTGCCGAAGATGGGGACACTTCGTCTTACACCTTGGAGTGTCAGGGATGTGGGTTGATTAACGATAATCTGGTTAAACAATGAATATATGATGTTTTATATTTATCGTTGCGCACGTGATTAACATGTTTCGACGTAAGCATTATGTCGATCAATTGGCTTTCATATTTGCCATCATTAAGTAAATTGCAACGTCGACATTAACATTCACACATACTTTCGTAAACTTTCAAGAGAATTTTGGAAGAAGTCGTTTAAGTAATACAGTTCATTAACAAACATCATTATCTATACAATGTGCTATGGTTTTCTGTGTGCTAAATTATGATTATTTGTTTAATGTACTGTATCCTAAAATTAACACAATCAAGCAAAAAGTTTCTAAATGAGTACAAACTTATCTTTTATAAAAAACACTCTTTTGTTACATACACACGCTACTATACATACAGGATAATGTAACATGTGAAAGTGCGTTCTGATTTTGAAATAAGCCATTTACACACACATATTCGTCATTTATGATTTTAGAGGAATTGTAAGGCAACAACACTATTCTTGTTTCGATCTGAAAAACGGTTCGATTGCCCGTAGGAACTCCTTCTCGAAGACTTCGCATGAGAAACGATTTACAGATGACCTAAAAAACCGAAAAATCGATATATAAAAAAATCCTTATTTCATAATATTAAAACAATTATAAAATATCCTTGATCTTACCTGGCCGCAATTCTAATAGCATTTCGAACCTTTGGAGGCATTTGTATGATGGACGCTATTACTTTGGCATATTCTACCTCACTTTCTGCTAGAAAACCATTTACACTATCCATTCGTGTTTCTATGATGTCTGCTCTAAAATTAGAATATTTTTTTAAGTAAACTTTTTATTAGAAAACTTTACGAGCCAATTCCATGGCTGAGCTATCGGCTTTCGTGACTGCAATTTTTATTGAATTAAATGGAAATTATAATCAATTAGTAATTTTAGCAAATGAGTGGTCTCTTATATGTCTGACGTCCAATTCTGATTTGTTATTAATGTTTGAGCATTACGGCATTAAAGCGGCAATGTAAGTTTCAAGTTAAAAAATTGACAAATCACAATCGAATATGAGGCAAATTATTGATTATAATTATTCAATTTATGGCTTGAAGCTTAAGTTTTATGTCGTAAAATCTCAAAGCTTAAATTTTACGCCTTAAAATTTCATTGTAGACGTCACTTAAGATTGCCGAGAGAAAAATTGTCGCGATCACAACAAAGTTGTATCGCGATCGACACAAATACTGAGCCAAGTATATACCTCGGACCACCGGAAGAATGGGCCACCATAATTAATCCCGCCGCCATGCACTCCACGATGCCGATACCAAAATGTTCATTCCACATTGTATGCAGACCAATCGTTCCTTTTTGCATCTCGGACACAAGTTCGGAGTATGGTACATTCAACTTGAATTCGATGTTTTTGTCTAAAGCCAAGTGTTTAGCCAAATCTTGCATATCCTTAACGCGTCTTTCATCCTCGGCGTCTCGACAGGAACCAATACAGACTAACTTGACCTAAATAGCATGATCAAGTTTAGAATACATCTTGAAGCTATTGAGATAAATCATCAGCTCACCTTTTCCCAAACTTCCTCCTTAAGAATAGATCTTAGCTCGAACATCGCCCTCAACATGAGTGGATGATTCTTCTCTGGCCTGAATTGCGCGATAGCAATTATGCGTATGCATTTATTCTTTTCCTCATCGCTGAGAAGTGGCAGTCCAATCAGATGCTCCACACTACATGGGGGATACACTCGATGCGTCTTCAGTGGACATTTCCAGATAGTATTGATATGCTCTTCAGTCCACGAGGAATTTACAATCACGATGTCGGCGCAGCTACCAACCAATCCGTACAACTGAAATATTCTATTGTGGAATAACTGTTTGAAAAGACTCGTCTACTTTTTCCTCACAAAACAATTATTCAGATTTGTATACTTACATATGCGAATAATTTATAATAAAGGAATTTCCCTCCTGAAAGCAACGGATTTCTGGCGATGATCCTTCGATTGTTGTGCGCGACAATTCTCCTGTAGACGTACTTCAACATATCAGTCGAAATAGTCGGATAGTGCGTATACGATCCAACTAGGCAGCCACCGATGTATTTAAACAGTGGATACGTAAACGCGTAACCCATCGTGTCGATGTATATATCTGCGATTTGTACAAGTATTGTATAATTATGTGTTATTTGTATCTACTTTTATGTATTTTTGTCAATAGAAACTATAAAATAGTACAAATATATTTAACCCGTAACAAGAACACATTTTTTGTGACGTTAAAAGACCATGTGAATTTTGGGACTTATTGAAGTTTCCTGTTATTTATTTTCTTTAAGAATTGCAACATTTGAACTTAGTATAAATATAGTACAATAATTAGTCTACACGAATAGAACGAAAGAATAAAAAATAAAATTATTCCAAACCATTGTACTACTTAAAAATTAGGAAAATGTCCCAGAGTCACCAGAATCTATATGTTCTAGTTACAGGTTAAACAATCTATTACATCACCTGGTGTAAGATTGTTTAACGCTTCGATGCCCAGATAGATGGATCCCAGGCTTTGTCCTAGAAGTGTGAAATAAGGATATGTAGAAGCCTCCACCCATTTTCGCCCATGCAAATAGACGAATTCGATATTTGGTTGCAATTTCATGTTAAATGTCTTTTCAGTTTGGCTGAGAATCTTTTCAGGATCTGCATCAAGATCGCCAGTGTATATAGCTATATGTATGTCAGGATATCTGGAAGTGTTCAATATATAAGAAGAAATACGGTGGGTGATACTAGTTGACATCATTCTATCTTTCTTGACATTCAGTGAGTAACAAAGATAGAATGATACTTGTTTCAATTTGTGTCACCAAATGATAAGCATCTAATGTGAATAACAGTGCAACAAATAATCTCAGCTTTGATGAATAGATCACAAATGCTTTTGATATCAAACACCCTTAATATGAACTTTGCAAAAAATGTTACTTTGGCACATACTTGGTCTGTATAGCATGAACCGCAGCCCAAAGTACTCTCTCGCCTCCTCCACCTGCATTGCAGTATGGATGAAAAATACCGACAACTGTTCCAGTCTGTTGTCTCTCCTCGCGCTTCTTTGAGTAAAACTTTCTCCATTTTATCAATAGAATTGGCAAAAGGACAAGTATACAGAATATTTTACATAGAACAATTAACAACAGCATGTTTACGAATAGGATTATGGGTGTCCTATAAAAATTAAGTTGAATTAAATAGACATATTTATCGATATATTTTATCATAAAGATCATAAAGATACAATTTCTTGGTTGATATTATAAAATATCACTACATAAGCAAGACTTTTACAAATATAATATAAAGCTAGTTAAATTACATGGCAGTCCGTACAAATGTTGCAACTGAGAATAGTCATTCATTCCTTAAGACAAATAATCTCACGTAACAAGAGATAAAAATTTAATTATTCTAAGATAACAATGAATAGAAAACAGACGACAAAACTACGAATAGTTGCAAAAAAATTAATTAATATGGAACATACAAGGCTTTTACAAATATAATCTGGAATTAATTAAATCAATATAAATTTTGAGACTAAGCACAAAATTCTTCACATTGAATAAGAGTCTAGTTTCAATAAGGTACAATAAAAAAACGAATAATTAGTCGCAAAAAATATTTTTGACGCTAAATTTGCAGTTACACACCATGCAGAAGATCGCACTAACGAGCTGCTAACGAGCGGTATCCCTTACATTAAGAAGTAAAAAATCATGTTCGCGACCACTTGCAGATCTACACGTGGTATCGTTTGCCGAACTTGCCAGAACTTGCCGACGTGTAATCAGTAATGTAACTTCGTGGCGGTCCTCAAACGGATGATCCCTCGTGAGCGGGGAATTAACCTCACAGTAATCACAACCACACTTTATGTCGCGCTAGAACTAAACTAACCTCACTAAACACGAGAACATATATCTCTCTCTTTCTTTCACCTTAATATACGTCGATAAACGCAGGTGAATATTTATCTTTGTGAGGAAATATTCGATCCTCCGTCGACAATAAATAACGTTGTTGCTTGCGAAAAATATATGAAGGAGAAAAATAGATATCAATAAAATAAAGTGCGAAGAAGTGTATAACTTCCGTTGCATTCGAATGTTAAATCAAGATTAAAGTTTATAATCTCCACTGGTGTAAAACGAACAATTCTCTAAGTTCGAATTATGATCAAATTTATGATCAATAACGAAATAATACTGTGTTTTTATAATTCTTTTATTTTTCTATTATTAAATATTTATTTCTTATAATTATCCTATATTTTTTAATACATTCTTTCATATCTCGCACATAAATTAATTTATATATTTATATATCTAGACTATTAATTCGCTTTTATTACTCCCGTGTTACATTATTCTTCCCGTCTTTGCAACAAATTGCTTATATATATACTATATAATCTTTAACGTTTAAAATCCTTTAAGCATATAATCCGAGCGGTCAGCTGTCTGATCTGTCAATCTACTTCAAACAGTCAGCTGGAAATGTAGAGATTACTGGGAAGCTCGCATCACATACTGTGACTGTGCTTCGCTGTGCTCGCATCGTGCGTCACGTGTGCACTCTTCTCGCGCGCGTGTGCACTCATTGTGCGCACGTCGCGTCGTCGGTCGTCGTGCGTCGTCGCCTCGCGTCGCATCGCGCGTCTAGAGTTGCCGCCTTGTTTTACCTTGTTCGTATCTCCGCTCGTCGCCTCACCGTCACCGTTTCCTCCATCCGCGCGGCCGATTAATCCACGCGACCGTTCCGTCGATAAGAGGTAGTCACCCTCACGCTCAGCGTGCAACGCGCTCATTCCGTTTCCGAAGAGGTTCCTCCGTGTGGCGAACGTTTAGGTTAGAAACCTCGCGCGAGTAGTCTCAGCAGCGAACAGTGAACCGAGAAACACCTGTCCGCGTTGTGTGTGTTCTCTTACACATCGCACGCGGGTCCTCGCCGATGTA